CGACGCTCTCCCGGTCTGCGTGCCCGGGGCCGGCGCCCCCTGCAAGCGCCACGCGCCCGGGGCCGGCACTAGCGCTGGCACTCTCCCCCCCCCAAGCACCGCGCGCCCGGGGCCGGCACTCTCCAAGTGCTGCGCACCGAGGGCTGGCGCACCCTGCAAGTGCCGCACGCCCGGGGCCTGCGCTCCCCCCATGCACTACGTGGCCATAGCGCAGCAGCCAATCCGTGGCGCCCCCGGGGCCGGCGCTCACTGTGCGCCATGCACCCGGGGCCGGCTCCGGCACCGCGCATGCGCCACGTGCCCGGGGCCAGGCCAACCCAGCCCTGAGCACTTGGCGGGCACCATGTTGGGGACCACTGGTCTAGACTACATGGCTCCGTCGACGGAGGAAATGGATGGAAGCTTGGTGAGAGTAGAGATCAGTAAGTTTCCAGCATAGGGTGATGTTTATGAGACCATCATTTATTTGTACTGTAGTATCCAGGAAAACTCGCCCACGCTGAGATTGATAGCTGAATAATCTATTCAGATATGTTATCACATCAGTATCTTTTTTTTGCCAGCAATCATTAAATTACTGAAGTGATGGAAATCCTAGCTAGTTATTTCCAGAGTTTAGGAGAGTAAGAGCGTCCCAAAATAATTTGGAAATGAGGAGGGGCTGAGGGCAGAAGATTGGTGTGTGTGTGTGGGAGGGAAGGCGAGGGGGGGGGCTGGGATCATGGAGGGCTCAGGACAGAGAGGTGGGACGTGGATGGTTCAGGAATCAGGGCTGGGAACATAGGAAAAGCTCAGGGCTAGGGATGTAAAGGATTAATCGGTTAATGGGTTGCCTGGTAAGCATGCTTTGAAGCCTGAGCTAACCAAAGGGGATGTTAGATTTTGTGTTTCTTACTAATCATGTAGCCACAACAATTTTTAATGGTTACACAGTTACTAAAATGGTCCCAGGGCACTCCCAGTATCCCATGGAGCAGCCTGTGTCTGTGATGAGTTCAGGCCCGCCACAGAAAGAGGCTGCTCTGTGGCAGCCTCCCCTGTCTCCCCCAGCTCCCCATGTGTATTGGCTCCTACCTGCCCTCTGCCCCTATGCTGCTGCCTCTGCTTTTAAGCTGGCTCACTCCCCTTGAAGCACCGGCTTACAGGTGGTGCCGTGGGTTGAGTGTGGCTAGTTTGCTATAACTGTAGGCAGGACCGGCCCGAGCCATTCATGCGCCCCGGGCCCCGGGAGCACGGTGCTGTCCCTGGGAGTGCGATGCATGTGTGGCCCCGCCCCCGGGCGCCCAGTGCACGCGTGGCCCCACCCCCAGGCACCTGGCACATGTGTGGCACTGCCCCGGGCACGCGGAGCATGCGTAGTGCCACCCCCGCCTGGCTCAGCAGCCCCTTGCGGCGTCCTCTACAATGGGGCGCCCCGTGCGGTAGCCTGGCTGGCCCATACCTTGGGCCGGCTCTGACTGCTTGAACATCTTTAGTCTGGGCCCTACGTTTAAATGGGAGAAGAGTTTGTGCTGTTGTGGGGAGGTTTTTTAGTAGGTTTCCCATATTCAGTGAGGTTATAGTTGCAGGAGAATGACTCACAATGGTGCTGTCTTGCCCAACAATGCCTTTCATGTGGTTCAGAGTGAGGCCTGCTGGGTTTAGTGTCTGACCCTTGCCTACACACAGGAGTCGTACTGGCCTCGCTTAACTGGATTTTAGTTTGGTTTAAACCAGGCTCATTTCAGGTTAGCTTAAGTTGATTCCAGAGCTGATAGAATTAAATCCGTTCAAAATTGCCCTGCAATTCTGCTGCATGCACTGGCAGACACCCCCTCCAAGGGCTTCTGCACTTTTGACTCCTCTCAGCACTGCAGGAGACAGCCAGATGTATGGCTCCATGTGGCAGATGCATCATCAGTCAGTTCCAGGAGCAGGCTCCTTAGGACAGAGAGGATCCATACGGAAAGAGCCCCGAGAGAGTCTCTGCTCCCAGGGGACTGCCAGTACATCTGCACTGCAGTTCAACACCTGGGCTGTGTCTAGACTGGCAAGTTTTTCCACAAAATCATCTGATTTTGTGGAAAAACTTGCCAGCTGTCTACACTGGCCACTTGAATTTCCGCAAGAACACTGACGATCTCATGTAAGATCGTCAGTGTTCTTGCGGAAATACTATGCTGCTCCCGTTCGGGAAAAAGTCTTTTTCCGAAAGACTTTTGCGCAAAAGGGCCAGTGTAGACAGCACAGTACTGTTTTCCGCAAAAAAAGTCCCGATCGTGAAAATGGCGATTGGGGATTTTTTGTGGAAAACCGCGTCTAGATTGGCCATGGACGCTTTTCCGCAAAAAGTGCTTTTGCGGAAAAGCATCCTGCCAATCTAGACGTGCTTTTC